ATTATATTATATTATATTAAGAGGCTTAAGTATAAGTGATGGCAAATCAAAACACCTTTAGGAAGAAAACAGGATAAAAAAGGATTGTGTGTTGGATCTCAATATAAAAAAACAAGGTATGCAGTAGCTAATTCTCACTAATAATGCCTGATTTTATTTTGTCTTTTAAGGTAAAACGGGCCACGCAGAGGTTGTACGAGTAGTATATCAGCCAGAAAACATCAGCTTTGAGAAACTGCTCAAGGTCTTCTGGGAGAATCATGACCCGACACAAGGTAGAGTGATGAGTGAGCCAGTATTTAATTATCTTACTAATTACAGCTGGGATAATTAGTGTTTGAGCTGCATGGAAGAGATGAGCCTTGAAATCACACTGGAGCTCAAGAATATGATTGCAGACATTTATTGACAGAGAAAGAGAGGGAGAGGGAGAATGAGAGTACAGAAACCCACAATACACCTCCTCCTTTACAGCTGTCTGTGCTGGGAAAATTCCCACAGAGAGGCACAGTAGACAATAGAATTTTTTTTTTCAACTTTGATTATGACAATTTCTTCTGTAATGCTGTCTTTTGTCTCTTAAATTAAAACATATTTCTTCACAGCTTCAGAGCTGGCCATTTTATTTGTGCCAAGGACCTTTATCATCATTAAAAAATTGGGGTTTTTAAATGTTTTTCAGTGGCAATGAATATCTTTTATGATTAGAAATGGGGAATGAAAAGAGGTAAGAGATTGTGTGTAGATGCACTAGCAGAGCATTCTAGCTATTTGCCTTATTCGAACCTTTTGATTTAATTTATCTTTCTTGGAAGAGGCTTCGTGATGACATTACGCACATCTGTGCAAACATAAATGGGAAACTGTGTTGAGAAAACAGTTTCCACGTTTATATAGTTTCAATAAACATCATCCTTTTTGCCATTTCCCAGAAATATTACACGCAGTAACTCATTTCAATATTTTAACAGCTATCATAATTATACCGCTTGTTACTACATCTGGGAACAAAAAATGCAGATGATACCTCCAAAATGTGGTACCATCCTGGGAAGCAGTAACTCTGAGAAGGATCTGGGGGCTATTGTGGGTAAACTGTCTTCCCGTGAGCCCAGAGCACGATGCAAAGACAAAAATGGCTATTCCAACTCCTGCCTGTATGGAAAGGGAAGCTTTAGTTAGGAGCATGAAAGCTATTTTCTGTATGCAGAGTCAGTAAAATCTCAGAACATTTAGTGTGGTTTTTGTGTTGACATACCAGGAATTATATATTGGTGGGGATTCAAAGGAGGGACAGAAAAATTATATAGAGCCTAAAAAACTGGCCTGGTGCTGTGAATAAACACATTCAACTAGTTGAAGAGACGCTGTGATCAAGTCATGTTTACAGGTGCTTGTACGAGGAGCAGGTACCTCATAGGGAGGTTGACAAGCCAACGACTGGTAAGCCATGACAAGTTCCAGTAGCTGGAAGCTGAAGCTGGAAAAGTTCCACCTTGGAATAAAATAGTTTCACAGCTCTCAGTGTAATTAAACGTCCAAGTCTTTTTCCATCACCATCCTTTCGAGTCTTTGAGATGAGATAATTTATCATTTTAAAAGTGGCGTTTGATTCAGGTCGTAAGAAATTCGGTGTCTGTGTGTCAAGTGTGGTGGCCTTTACTGGGATCTGTTGATTTATGAGCCTCACTTTTCAACTCCTTCCTTTAGAGTTCAGTTCAGGGCAGTTTCTCTGCGCCATCCTTGAAATACTTGCAGCTCTGCATCAAGATAATGACCATCTTCAAATCAGGCGTCAGGGCCTTTGTGGTTTGCTTGTAGGGGTCAGGAAGGAGGTTTTCTCCCTATCCTACCAGTGGTTGGGTTTAGTTCTTTTTTTCTTTTGTTCTCTTTTCTTTGGATTGTCAAAGATTGGCCATCACCAGAGGCTGGCTTCTTTGTCATGGGCTGGTTGTTTTGGTATTGCAGAGAACCCTATTTCTAGATAATTGGTTCATGTGTCTTGCTCACAAGTTGGGATTCATCCTGATTGCCAGAGCTGGGAACTAATGGCCAGGACTGTAGGATTCTTCACCTTCCAGAGCGGTATGAGGAATGGATTTCTGCTGAAGTACTCTGGGCAACTACCCCCTCATCAGTCATCTGCCATGTCTGTGGTCTTGGCTTTGGCAGTGTTGAGTTGGGCTCTGCCTGCAGCACACATACAGCAGGTCAGTCTCTAAAGGACGTCAGTGCTTTCAGGTGGGCTGAAGTTTGCGTGCTGGACACAATGGTATGGGGATGAAGCGTAGTGGTTGTGATAAACAGGTCAGATCGGATGAATTTCTCATTCCTTCTGGCTTTGAAACAAAGTAAAAGGATGACATTATGTCTTTCTATTCCCCTTGCATTCTCACATAACTGAGGTTCAGGATAGTTCCGGTCTGTGCTTTCAGAAGAAGGTTGGATGCTGGCAGATGTGTGATTCACTTTTTGTTTTTTGGCTACTGGGGAAACATCACCTAATTAGCCTGGGCACAGAGCCACGCTAATGTGGCTGTATTCCTTCTGGGATGTGAGGTCATATCTCTGCGTGACACGCCACTGTGTAGATACCCAAGTCATTCACAACTGTCTCAGGCTTCTGTGTGGCACCGCAGTGCTTGGTGTAAAGATACCTAAGCCTTTATCTAAGCTCTGCTCAATAGAATTTCCAAATGGTTCTTCTGTAATAATTTGCCGAAAGTGAGATGTTGGTCTTCTCTGAAGACTTTGCATACCCTGGACTTGCACAGGTTATTTTACCTATTTATTGTTATGGTTGCATAATGCTAATCTCTGTTCAAGAACTTGGCGAAGCTCATCACATCTCTACCACCTTTCTCGATTTGAGGAAAGCCTAAACCACAAGGTCCCAATTTCAAGTTTCTTTGTTTTTGTAAGACAGGGGTGCTATGCTTATGTATCCTTTCAAGACTGAGCAGTTGGCAGTAGAATATCTTTAAGGTGGAATTGTTTCTTTGCCTTGATTTGTATCTACTCCATTTTTTTTACCTTGCTGTGGGAAATGTGGGTTTATGTAAAGATCCTGAAAGTGGGAGTGATCTCTCTGACTGATGATATTTTTCTCCTTTCCTGAGGTTCAGCTGTGTGCACACAGTAAGTTTTATTTAACCAGCCTTATGGACGTGCAGGATTCAGTCTGTCAAAGAGAAGTTTTTTACTAAGCGGATAAATTAGGAAGATTTCTTATTCATGAAATTCAGAGCACTCTTTGGATGAATCCAGTGTCTCATATAGCCAACAAATACTGGACTTCTTGAGTATAGCCCTCACTCAGGAGTATAAAAGCTTTGTCTGTGGCATTATTTTATCTTTTCTCCAGAAGTTTGGTTAACACCATTTAAGCCCTCCTACCCCTGGCAGAGATAGTGGACATGTCTAATTGTTGTAATGTCATTAAACGTCAAATATGTTTATTCTGTTGCAGTTAAAGACCTTTCAACTCCCAATCTAGATGGTACCAAGTTGCTGAAGTGTACAGACTGGCAGTCCTATCATTCATTATTATATGAACATATTAATATTCAGAAGTTCCTGCTTTCCAAACAGTTGGACTTCCTGCCTTCAAGAGGGAACTGACATCTCACTGGGATTCAAGTCTTCTCTGGGAGGCAGCCTGGCTCTTGTTTCGTGAAGCTCTTGAGTCTGAGTATTATACAGAAGTCAACTGAAAAGCAAGAACCTTTGATCAAGTCAAACAGTCTAGGAGTTGAAAGAGATTCTCCCCGATGAGCATCTCCTAAGTGTGGGGCCCTGATAAAGTCCTCCTTGACTATTAATTTAGACTCTATTTTATAATTCATTACATTTGGGATACTGAAAAAGCAACAAACAAACCCCCGACTTCTGCCAAGTGACATATGGCTGTCATCTCTGTTCAGCCTCTAATGCACAGATATTCCTGCTCTCCCAGGAATGATCTGTCTGTAAAAGGATTGCTCTTTGTACCTCTGTAAGTGCTTGAGGTGGTTGCTTCTTTGTCATTGATACAGAAAAATAGAATGAATGTGATATGCTGAAAATACTGCAAAAAGATCTTATGGCTATTTACTTTGCACATAATTATATTTTTTTCAAGTTTATAGGGGTGTAGGGCAGATTCTGTGTTGCCTTGTTTTGGCACTAATGGGATCATCCTCAGAGCCTTCCAGATTTTTAAGATATAAGAAGCCTGACAGTCTCCTTAAAATTGCACCCTGACGCCTGAATTCTGCTGGCACCTCCATGCTGGCTGGCTGTAGGGATGTGGACTTTCAGAGCATCAATTTGGCTGTGTTGTGCCTCAGCCTGGAGTTCCACGGTTGCTGTAAGCTGATCTTGGACTTCACCGTCAGGGAAAAGGGCAATTTTCTTCTCTCTCCCTGACCTGTCTGCAGGATACAACCTCTTTCTTTGTGTCAGCACTGGCAATTACAAAGTTCTCTGATCAAGCTGAAAATTAACCCTCCATGAATTGAAGTGAAATGTAATTTTCATCCAGAACGGAAATTGCCAGGAGCATGACTGCTGGTGGGACCACCCTTCTGGCATCAGCACTGTCCTACAGCCTGTGAGCCAACTGCAAAACCCAACCGTGCTTATGTTCAGGGTGGAAGATGACATATTTTATTGGATCAGAAAGTCTGGCCACTCTTTGTGGGGTATCAGAAACTATTCTCCAAACCTTTGGAAAAAACTATCTGATACCAGAGGGCTCTATTTGTCATGGTGCAAATGTGATTCCTGTTCATAATTCTGTCCCTGTGTGTGGCTGAAGTCCTACGTGTGTCTGAGATTTCAGCCCGGTCCAAGGCAACTTTAAAGAAAGGCTCCTTGTTGCTGTCAGTGGCTGTACAGAAGACAAGAAGACAAACACTGTTTATTTCTCTTTAAAACATGTTTGGGGCAAATGAATAATCCACTCGCCTTCTTTAGTTCTTTTCTCTCTTGAATATGATCCCAAACAGACGCTTGTTTGGTAGTTCTGCTCCCCATGTCTGTCAAGAGTCCCTAATCCCTTCCAGACCACAAGAAATAACTCAGATACAACTACAGTTCTCTGAGGTGAGCCCCTGTTGAACCCAAATCCCATCCTTTTTTTAATTACTTCTTCTGGCTTTCTGTTTGGATATCTGGATTAGTGGAAGGAGCTGAGAGGAAGCCAGAACTCAATGGTTCTGGCCACCCTCTGACAATGGGTGAAGGGCAGAAGCATCCATGGCCACCACTGCCCAGGAGCTTCGGGAAATGTTCT